CACAATTTCTCTGGGAATGGAGCCCGTAGGTGTCCCGTGCACGCGAACACTCTGAAATTTGGGAGAAGAGCTTGGTCGCCAGAGCTTTGGGGGAGGATCGTAGCTTTGACTTGTAGAAGAAAAAAAGTCCCTTGAAGTCGATCCTTTGGTGGGAGCTCCCCTTTTGGCACAGGACCGCAATGGGCAGACATGGGGCCTAATAATGTGCTCTCTACCCGTTAGTCCTGAAAAGGATTTAGATGCCAGAGTTCCAGAACTAATAGCCAACCATTCTTGTTCTGTATACACAATCCCTGGTGTTACATGGGATACTTTGAAATGGAGGTAATTTCTCCCCTTGCTTGCAAAGAGTATGTTAAGGGTTTACACACAAGCCCAGGGCCATCATTTTCTCCTATCAAAAGGTGGCTCTGTCTTATAACGTTTCTTATTTCCTTTGTAAATTTAAGTGCTGTAGGGAGAGGCTGAGGTTGGACACAGGCTGGAAGGATGACTAAAGGGAGAAATTGTATTTGATCCTCAGGGAGGGGTTTGATACCAGAATGTCCCCTCCCGCCTTTAGAGTAAAATTGGAAAGAAATGAACAATGAACCACAGAATGCAGAAGCAAATCACAAAACGTGGGAAGGATTCACACATTCGTTTCTCCTTTTACTCCTTATTAGACATTGCCCTGCATTTAATTCATTACTTTTTGGATGAGAGGTGTAGTTTTTGTTGGCAAGTCCTAAAAGAAAGGAAAACACGTTGCAGTATCATACTTGGATAGTGGGGGCATGTAAGAATTGGTTAAAATACTACACTGATACTTTCATCCTTTTCAGGAAGCAAATCTGGCCAGATTTAGGATTGCATTTGAACTGGTATACCCAAATTTACAGTTTCATTCTCATGAATTAAAAAAATAAATAAAACTGATTTGGTTCATAGTCCAAACATTGCTCTAAATGGGATATCCTGTATCTATTTAAATCCAGCACATTCCAAAATGAAACAGTACAGTTCAGTAATTTTCTTAAAATGTACAATGTGGCAGTATAAGCTGTTGAGAATAAAAGTACAAAACATAAATTTAAAAAATTCTGATTAATCTTAAAACATTATGGCCTCTTGAGCTCAGAATATGAACTATTTGGACTTAAGTAACTCTGAGTCACAAAGCTTATTAAATAGTCCCCAGTAAAAAGGTTGCCCCAAGTGAATTAATTTAGCTTATAAATGTATAAATGATTATGAGTTGATGGTATGTTCTTTAGTTATTTCTCATTGCTTCCTATGACTTTTTTTTAATACATTATTGTTTAAATGCTACCTACCTACAGAGTATTAATTAAACTCTTTTAAGCCACAAAACAATCTGACTGCTTGAGCATGTTATCCAAATGAAAGCTATATGCTCAGGGATGGGCAACCTAATGAGAGAGCCAATTTAAAATTTCAAGTATAAGGGGCTGGAGGCTAACGTCTAGTTTCTTGTAAAATCTAGCTCCTTATAGCTGAATTTGGCATAGCTTCCTTTGGTTGTGTGTGGCAGGCCAGGATGAGACATTTGAATAGTCTAACTATTTTGGAAACAGCAAAATATAGGCAATTTATTTGGGGTGTGTGTATGTCAGGGGTAGAACCCTAAAATCTGGGTAAAGGTGCTATATGTGCAATATTGTATATATTGGAAGAAATGCCGATGCACCCTTACAACTGTCAAGCAAGCAACTCATTGATTTTGCTTGCTTGATAGTTAAACCAGTGGACTTAAAATAGATTTGGTATCCAATAGAGAGAATGGTTAAGTAATTAATTTGTTGACTTCTGAAAAATATTAATGTTGCCCATGAGATGGCACTGTCCATTTAAAAATACAATGTAATTATTGACTATCTTTGTTCTTAAGCTTAATGGGAGAGCTGGTTTGAATGATATCACCTGGATTTCATCTATGGAGTTTTGCATATTAAAGAATAGCTCTTTTGCTGTTTAGATATATTGTTTTTTGTTTGAAGTTTTTTCTTTCTTTCAGATAAAGCTCCCAAGGAGGGGATTTTCTTATTTCATACACTTCCTGGTCTTTTACAAGAAAGACAATTGTGCTGACATTGATTAATTTCTTTTCTTAGGTCAATACCCTACACAGCCTTCCTATCCAGTTCAATCTCCTGGTAATCCGTCTGTGTTCCCACAGACCATACCACTTTCTCAGGCTCCACCTTATACTGATGCCCCTCCTGCCTATTCAGAAGTATGTACTCCAATCACTTTCTGTTGTAAGAAATAACATAAGACTTTCTGGATCAGATCAAAAACATCTTTTCACTTAGTAAAATAATAGCTGTGATTGATAATTGATGATCCAGACAGGTTACTACCATACTGCTGATTTAGTGACAAGGATGGTCTCTAGAAAGTTTCCAATTCTTTTGGAGATAGTTTTGTCAAATGTTTTCATTGTATGAGTTGTGATTTCATCATATGCAAATTATACAGTTGCCTGAGCACTTCAAGGTCCACATGATGATCAAGATACCCCTTGATGCCAAAAGCAGAAGTATGTAACTTCAACTTTAGGTGAATGTAAATGAAAATAATGTTTTATACTGAACCTCTTTCCATTTTTCAAACTGCAGAATCTGGCACTTAAGACTAACTATGGACTTTGGTTCAGATACTCTTTTAAAAGTCAAAAGTTTTACAAGGCAAAGGACAAATGAGAGAAAGCTATAAACTTTGTATGTTCTGTTTTGAACTTCCCAGAGATATCTCTCTCGTCAGCTGGTCTGCATTGATTTATTTTTGCTTAATTTTGGAAGCTTATTTCCATTATCTGTGGCAAAACATCTTTCTAAGTAGAAACCAGAACTTTGAGAAGAAGAATTTCTGAGTATAAAGCCATAAGAAATGCTTTATGTGTGCTTTCTTCCTCAGCTGTACCGCCCAAGTTTTGTACATCCCGGAGCTGCCACTGTACCTACTATGTCTGCAGCTTATCCTGGTGCTTCACTGTACCTTCCTATGGCTCAATCTGTAGCTATGGGGCCAATGGGCTCTTCAGTTCCAGTGGCTTTTTATCCTGTTGGCCCTGTCTATCCTCCTGGGTCTACTCTACTTGTGGAAGGTGGCTTTGATTCTGGAGCAAGGTTTGCAACTAGTGCTCCTGCTAATATCCCTGTAAGTAGGCACAGAATATTGTATTTGCTGTCTCTGAAAGAGGATTATGAAACTAGTCCCCCTCCCTAACCCTTTCACGGTAATAATGGTATATTATGCTGTATGTGCAGTTTCCAAGATGCAAATGAAATCATTTTCTCTATATTTTCACGATTGTAAATACAAAGTATCTGCAAGGATTTTAAGAATTTTGGGCCTCAAGTATTAAGGTGATATAAACTGTGAGATAAGGCAGGGAAAAGGCTCGCCTGCAAGGGTCCAGTGTCTCTTATGCTTTTATCTCTGTAGACGTTAGTGAGAATGATAACATAAATACATTTCCTCGAGCTCAAGGTGACACTGAGCATGCTTTTCTGAGGATGCTTTGATCTTCTTGTAGCGAGTCCATCTTTATTGAGGAGTTACCCTTCTGAAAGGATAGCCTGCAAACCTAACTTATCTACAGAATTGTCAGGGAAGCAGGTTAAAAAAGATAGCTTGCTATAGTTTAGTCATCCAACCATACAGTTTGAAAAACAATCTAGCTTTGCGTAACTCATGCATCCTGGACACCATGCAAGAAGCTTGCTAAAACCGATGTTTGCAGCCCAGCTCGGCAGCCTCTGTCGAGTCTGTGGTCTGCACTTTGTTAGTCTGGTCTTACGGCATCCCTCTAATCTGTTGCTGTTGTTCTCTTTCAGCCTCCTCCTCCTGGCTGTCCTCCCAATGCAGCCCAGCTGGCTGTCATGCAGGGTGCCAATGTGCTAGTGACGCAACGGAAGGGAAACTTCTTCATGGGGGGCTCTGATGGTGGCTACACCATCTGGTGAAGGAAGAGGGGGGGGCTACATTGGTGTAAAGGGACGACATCACATACTGTCAGCACTTCTCACAATGTAACCGCTTTAGTCGTATTAACCTGGAGTTGCAATTTAGACACATGATGATGCGGGGTGTCTTCCTGGTGCCCTGACCCTTCAGGCACTTTTTCTTTAAAAAAAAAAAAAAAAGCAAATTTTAAAATACAAAACCATGCAATGGTAGGAGTGCCTCTCTTAAACCTTGGGGGTTAAATTGTGAAATGAATGTGAGCTAAGCTATCAAATTTCCCTTTAGTTCCACCGAGAGAGTGCTTCTCACTGCAGCTCTCTTTCTCTGTGTCTGGCTTTTATTAATCAACTATATATAAAAATGGGGTTGGGGGATGAGAAATGGTCGGGGGAGGGAGGAACGGAAGTTGGAAGAAAACTGGCTTCCACATATCAAACGTACAAAGCTTGCAGATCAGATATACCTGTTGCCAATGACTAGGACTAAGATCCATCTTTCCTTTTCCTTAGAATCAATGGTGCTGGGGAGAAAGATAGTCAGACATAATGTTTGGGGGGGGGGCATCTGTGGCGGATGCCTGTTGGAAGAGTATGATGGGGGGGGGCTCAATTTTCCATTTCAGAACCCCTTGGTTGGTTCCTTCTACTCACCTTTGCTCTCTGTTCCTTTGCTAGGAAAGTATGCAGCTAGAGCGATGTCCCAGGATGTCCTTTTTTATATATTCTTAAGTGATCTTGGACTCCTTTGCACATTAAAAATCTAACTGAAGCCATGTTTTGGTGCCAGAAATACAACATTTCATTAAATGCTTCCTGTCTGTTTCAACAAACAAAACAAAAGAGCTTAAAAATGAAACCATTTTTTTAAAAAGGGTATGGGGGAGGGAAGCAACCCAGTGTCGTAATAACAAAAACTCTTTTAAGTGGAATGTTATTCAGGCTAGAGAGACAAAAAAAAAAAAATGTCTGGTAGTTGTCAATCAGTGTGCAAGTTTGCTGGATTGATGGTTTTTTTTTGTTGTTTTTTTAGATGCAAACATTTAAAAAAGTGAGTTGGGTACAATGAAGTCTTATTAGGATTAAGAAGAATATTTCAGGGATCCTCAATCTTTTGTTGTTGTTGCTTTTGTTTTTATGAATTAAAAATTATCAGATTTGGTGAATATATTTTATCTTAATTTTCTGTGTGTTGTATGTGTCATGGTCATCCATACAGCTGACTGTTAATGGAAGGTTGGGATTCTAGGTCTCTCTGTAAACACTGTGGTGCACTTAACTTGTGGACTTTTTATACTAAAAACAAGTAGAATAAAGGCTATTTTGAAAATTTGAATAAAGTGACAAAGTTGAATTTAGCCTCTTAAATTCCTGTCCATTGCAATGCTGCAAGTTTTAAAATTGAGTTTGCCTTTGTATCTGTTCCTTTGTTCACGGTGCTGTCAGTGTAAAAAATGATAAATTATATGATATAGGGATGTTATAAACAGATGTACTGCTACATAACAATGTTAAGTGTGCCATTAGGAAGCCAGTTAGTATTCTTTCTTTAAATTAATGCAAGGCCAATTAAAACCTCCTCCTTCCATAAAACTGCTATTAGTCCCAAAAAAGAATTGTCATTAAGAGCCATGCATGTGTTCTTTTCTCAGATGACAGCAATGTAGAGTGGATTATTTTCTTTGGGACCGAGTCATGGGAGAGAAAGAGTTAAAACTTTAAAACTTTTCCTTTCCATATGCCACAGTTCCAATAGAAATCTTTCTCCTGCTTCTGTTAATAAGAATACAATACACCAATATGCTTCTAAAAATGTTCAGAACTGTATGTAGGCCTGAATGCAATGATACAAAAGTAAATATTTTATTTCACTGTTTTCCAAGTATCTTAAAGATAACAATCTTTTGTCAAGCACTGTTAACATATCAAATTCTTCCTCTTGCTTTCTGAACCTATGACAATATTTGCCCTCATGCAATGCATTTCCATACAAATTATTTCATTATTATTCCTCTTGATATATTGGAAGCTTAGGTATTTCCGTTAGACTGTAAAAGCACATGTTTGAAACTATGAATGCAGATGTTTTTTCACAGAACCAAAGGTTTGACATGCACAGACACTACATTGCGGGCTTAGAATGAATGAAAGACCCATTAAGGAATGTGTGAGAAATATTCTTATTAAGAAGGATTAAGAAAAATAAGGCAGCTCATTTTTTGGAGCTTTGGAGTTGGTTTGCTTAACTAAAAGCAGCACCCCTAGAGCAGTTTCTCCTGACATTAGAAGTTCATAAAACTTCTATGTATGGAGGATTATGAACAGCAAAAAAAGCAATTTTGCATGTTAAATATATTTTTGGTTTGAAGTGGGTTTTAGTGTTTGCTTTACCTGCGTATAAGATGTGAAAAAAGATAGCTCACCCTGATGTTTTCTTTCCTATATCAGATAGCAAACTATCTGGGGTTAAGAGGTGCCTATTTGCCTATTCTAATGTTAGATAATTAGAATTGGACAGTGTGATGACCAGTCTGCATTGTAATCTCAGGGTCGCATCACTGCAGTCTGTAAATAACTTGTGTGTTGCCGCCAAGGGATAGAACTCCTAGTTCAACTACTTTTATTTAAGCCAGAGTTCCACAAGTATATAAACAACATTTACTAATACACATTTAATTCCTTGAGTAAAAGAATGACAAACCTAAAACTTCTGCTCATTTAAGTTAGGACAGTCTAAAACACGGCAGCAGTCTGGTATCTTCTATATGAAATACTCTTCTTTTTCAGGTTTACAGGGGAAATCTTCCATTTGGACTGATCCCTCTGGATCTACTTCAGGTTGTTCATAGGTGTGGTAGTTGCCTTTATTCTTGTACAGGTAAACAACAATTATCACAACGACTGAAAGGAGAGTGAGAAAAACCACGGCGATAACAGCTTGAAACAAAATAGAGAAAAGAAACTTTAGAACAGATTGTTTCTGAGCAGATCTAACAGATCAAGCAATCGTTAGCCTGAGAGCCTGAGAACAAGCTTCTCTCTTACCTGTTGTTTTTTTTCTGTAGCACAGACAACCCTGCCTTCCCTTTACCATTTTATCTACCATTACATTTGCTGCCAGAAAGATAACATTTGAAAGTAAAAAGCTAGCAATCGTTAAGGGGAGCTAATGTTAATAGTGTTAGAACTATAGCAATCTAGGGACCCCAAAGCCTTTTAGTCTGAGGGCCTTTCTACCTATGACTCTAAATGGTAGAACAAGATTAAAAGAAATGAAGCAAAACAGCACTGAGCGATGAGGAATTTATGGAGGAAGGAACCTAGAGCCCATTCCTTACATTTTATTTATAATTAAAAGTAATTGAGGTCTATGCTCAAGTGTGTAGTTAAACTTCTATATTAGATCCATCTTTCTCAAGCTCAGCAACTTTAAGCTATGTGAACTTCAACTCCCAGGATTCCCCATGCTTTTAATACTTAATGCAGGATTTTAGACAACATGGGAATCGGATCAAAATCCTGCACATGCATCGTGATCTACCTTTAGCTTCCACTGGAGGAGTGGACACATAGCAAATAGATCGCATCAACAATCTTGTTTGTTTTTAAGTTCTTACACCAACTTGGCCTTTGCGTACCAAGTCCTGCCAAGTCACATTCTTCCTGAATCTGCAGGCATTCACTTTTCAGACTCAATTATGGAAAGGTTAGATAGTTTCCATAACAATACAAATGATGAAATTGATAGGGTACAGGATTCTGTCCTCTTATGAATTACAGCCCTGTTGTACAAAAGACTTAACTTCCTAGCCTTTAATGGGATGATAACATGGCTCCTTCAAAGGTTATCTGGAGAGCAGCAGAATAGGCTTCTAATGCAATCGTCCCCCTGAATGAATTCTCTGCCCAGAGCTGAATGAATTCTCTGCCCAGAGCTGTATACAAGCAGGCAGTAGAAATATGTCAAATACATTAATACGACTTGAAAATGGTGTTAGTCAAAGTTTCAGCACTGTGGTAAAGAAGTGAGGGCTTTTGCATAATAGCTTCATGTACTAGATCAGTGGTTCTCAACCTTTTTAATGCCGCGACCCCAACCATTTGTAAGTCGAGGACTACCCAATTGGTCGTAAGTTGAGGACTACCCAACCGGTCGTAAGTCGAGGGCTTTCCCTGCCCGGAAGCGCTGTGCATGCATGATGCCGCCCCCTGCGCCGGCCGAGGCATAGCTGGCAAGCGGCAGAGACGGAGCAGGCCGACCACCGGCTGGGCCACCAGCTGGCCCAGCCCAAGGGAGGTAAGGCACTCGCCAGGCCCCACGCGCGCCAGCAACCCTCCCTGCGCCTGCTGGCCTCCCACCTCTAGCCCTCTTTTACTTACATTTTTAGTAGTTGCTCAGCAGGGAGGGGTGGAAACTTCCAGACAGCTCGCCTTCGCTGCAGACAACTTGCAGCACCGTTTGCAGAATGGGACTTTTGGCGGGCTCAGCAGGGCAGAGACAGCCTGGACAATTCCTATTGGCTTTTGAAAGCCAATAGAATTAGACTCTATTCAAGAGAGTCTATTCTATTGGCTTTCAAAAGCCAATAGAATAAAAGGGAGTAGCACAGCTAAGGAAAAGGGGCAAAAAATGGTGGACTGCGTTGTTTGGCGACTCCCGTGAAATGATCGTTCGACCCCAAATGGAGTCCCGACCCACAGATTGAGAACCACTGTACTAGATGAACAACTTTGTTCCCCTCTAAAACTGCTTAACCATTTCTTTTGAGTCAAAACATGCAAAACATACACAGGAGGCAGAGGCCTGCCTTTGAACAGGGAAGTTGGATGATTCCAGTGTATTTTTTTTTTTAAGAAAAAAAGCTGAGAGCAAGGATGGAAACGGCCATTACTCCTGGGATCATTACCTCCAAAAGCACTACCCAAAATGAATGATATCACATCCTGCAGATCAAGAAATAAAATGTGCCAAGAGGATGGATAGTCTTAGTTAACCTCAAGGGATAAACAAGACCAGCATCACACTCTTATCCTTGGATGCCCCAAAATGTACACACTGTGCATGAATATGTACATGCATGCATGTATTCAAATACATACTAATAAAGGGCAGCCATTGGCTGAAAAAAATATCTGTCCTTGTGTCAAAGATATGCAGGTCTGATCTGGGAGTACCTCCTAATACGTAGGATACACTGGTACTTTTACCACCTGCCATCTATGCTGCTGGCTTTACTGTTAGTGCTTTGGGGCCATGTTGGAATGCACCCTATAATTAGCTCTGGAAAGATATTGCTAATACCTCCTATAACAGCCATATTGGCATCATCTTGGGACGTAGGTGTGTTCATCTTCTTCATGAATGGACTGGTCAGCACCCCTTCATAGAGGAGAAAAGAGGAAGATATTAATATAAGCAGCAGATGGTGTGCTTGATTTGAACCAGGAAGTCCAGATTCAAATTCCCTTCCATCACGAAAATGGAAGAGGGGAAGGATGACCTCGCAATAGGCTTCCCCCCCCCATTACTTTCAGACTAACCAACTTCCCAGAGCTGTACAAGAAGAGCAGGGAAGGGCAATGATATTCTTGCTGAAGGAATGAGAGTAAATACAGTATACTGCAGGGGTCTTCAAACTTGGCCCTTTTTATGACTTGTGGACTTCAACTCCCAGAATTCCTCATCCAGCGTGCCTGGCTGAGGAATTCTGGGAGTTGAAGTCCGCAAGTCATAAAAAGCGCCATGTTTGAAAACCCCTGCAGTATACTAATAAATATACTGCATCTTCCAGAAGTAGGTGTGCATCCATCCTGCGCGCGCACACATGCACATGCACACACACACACAAAACACCCAAGTTTCTTTTCTACAGGAAAAAAAAAGTATACACTAAATAAGATGAGATGTTGAGACATAATATGCAGCAACAATTGCAAAGCCAGGACTTAAAATAATTAGGGACAAGTACTTTTGGTGGAATAACTGGCCAGTCTGCAAGCCATTGAGGCTGATGGAAGAGTTGCTCAATAAAAGCCTTCAACCTTTGGCTCCAGTTACAAAGCAGAAACAGGTCTGTTCTGTAATGTTTCAGGACTTAGGTAATCAGGCTTACTCAGTGAATATCTAATAATGTACAGCAGTGGAATTTCCAGCAGGAACAAATGTTCTGCCAGCAACTCATTTCTAAAGATTTCTAAGACTTGCCAGTTATTTGGGAGCCAAACTCTTTAGAAGAATGTATGACATCGAGGGATCTTATCAAACGGTGGCCAAGTCCAAGGGATCCAGCCATATACACATCTCACCCTTTCTTCCTTTCCCCTGCTGCAAAACTGAATTATATTTGTGAAGCCCTAATTTATACCCTCTCCATCCAATCAAAATCATCAGTAGGCACAAACCAAAACATTATGCACGACAGCAATCTATCTAATGTCTGGTTAGCGAAAATTGATGTGTGGAATTATGCCTTTTCATCCTGTCCCTTGCAAAGCTCTCTTTCCAGGTTATCCAGTATTTTCACCTATGCAGAAATGAACATCTGTTTAACAATACACAGTGTATGTAGACTATGTATGTACAACATGCTAAGATAACGTTTGTTTAACCTCAGGTTTTTTTTTACTAGAACATAAATGGTGAAATTTATATCCAATTTAAGCTGTAACCCATAGTTTATAAATCACACTGACCAGGTTTAAAAAACAATATAAACAAGCAAACCACATTTTGACTTGAAGTCTGTCTTGGAAGCAGCCTTAGTTTGGCATCATATGCTATGCAATAATATAGTTTGGTTTTAACTTAGCAGATTCAGTGGGTGACTCTGTTTAATTGTAGTTTATTTGTCATTTATTCAGTAAACAATGGTCATGCCAACAATGGTTCAGCATGACGTGAAAACCTAGATTGTTTAAAAGATTTATTTCCAAATAAATAGGCTACTCTCTCTGAAGAACTCTAAGCTCTTCTTGAGACATTAGAACGACTGCAAACATGCAATGACATTATAGTCAGTTCATCCAGTAATTATTTGGAGTAATTTAAATGGAGTCAGAGAAGACCCCAAAAGGAAAAAAAAAAAAGCAGAATGAATAGATGTGTTCCTATGCATGCAAAGCTCACAATCTATGTTGCATTTATCTATAATCTCTCTCTCTCTCTCTCTCTCTCACACACACACACACATACACACACACACATACACACACACAATCTCTATCATCTATCACATTTCTGAACTGCCCAACTCTCTTAAAGAGAGGCCCTCTTATTAGCAAATAAAGAAATGACATTAGAAATGATAACTTTTGTCTGCCTTTCAAATAACTTTTGGGTGCTGTAACATACTCTGTGACATTTATTGCAAATTATTATAGCTACTCGCCAAAGGAACGGTGGGATGGCTAGTCTCTTAAGATCATGTGCTACTTTCAAGATTGGATGGTTTGCAAACCAGGCTTTTTATGGACATAGCCTATTTTGGCTCAGTCAGGAAACCATGGTTAAAAACCATGGCTCAGTATAGGGGGTGATATCTAACAATTAATTTATGTGTGAATCAAGCCTAGTGGGAACAGAGGAAATGCCAACTAAATGGCCTAGAGTCAACATAGGGTATGATGAGTCCTCTCTTCTAGTGGCTGTTTCAGCAACAGAGAAACACTGCTTCCTTATGTTTTAAAAAATGAAAAAGGATGGAAATTGATCAAAACCAAGCATTTCTACAAGTATTTTTACACATAGAGACATCTACATTCTTATCATTTGGGCAAGAGGCTGGGCTCACAATTTGCACTAAACAGTAATGTAGCTTATTTGATCTGGGCTTCTAGTAGAAGCCACAGTGGTAACAAAACTATGAATTAAGCTATTGTGCAAATGTTGTGATGTCCTGATGCAATATTGTTATCTTCCCCCTGCACATATGTCCACAATACATGTATCAAAGTCATGCAGCTTGTACGCCATAAGTGGTCTATTATCTTGTCATCTATAATTGATAAATTAAAGAATACTGCAGAGCAGAATATATCATTCTCTCTAAGTACTTCAGCACTCACTTTTCTGAAGTCAGATTCTGAGAATGTCAGAAGCAAACCAGTAAGCCAACACAGCAACAACCACACAGACAGACAAAACCTGGGCCCTTTGGTCTATCCTGCATTGAGAAGGTTTGTGGAGAAAACAATGGCGTGCCTTCCTTGTGGAGCAAAGATTTAGGACTTAGGCAAACTCGGGTGAATTGAAAAAAAGTGCAGCATATATTTATAGGATAAATCTTAGCACTCTCTGCCTACGCAACAGCAGCTGTCATTACTGAAAAAGGATTTCCATTTCTTCCCATGGGGCAAATATAGCTATATTGTTGTTGCTTTTTTGTAGAGGATAGTGAACATGCCATTCTTCTACAGTACACTTTGGTATTTGCTGCTCAGTAGAGGTAACAGGGCTCAATTTCAAAGGCTTGCTTCAACTTCAAAGCTGGGTTTCTTTAGTTGTGGGCAGGCAGAGTTATGCTTTCTGATTGTAGCCTCTGATTATTATAATGGGAGATGTGCTAAGCTTCCAATATTTAACCAGTTTTTTATCTGCATATCTTCAGAAACCTTAGGGAATTGAATTCCAACTCCAGGGAAATGTTTGTTTATCCACTGGTTTAGAAGAATATTGCGCAGGACCCCAACTGAGAAAATCTATAGCTTGTTCTCTTGTGTTCTGCAATATTGATATCACTAATCGCATAACTTTATTTGCAGTTGCAAATTTTAAAAAGCTAGACAACTATGTTATTTAACTTGCAAAGGGTGAAGTCAACTGTTTCGGATTTGCAAGTTATATTTTATCTTTTATTAGAAAAAATTCTCATTACAAACAAAATCTAAATGAAATGGAACCATGATCTGTAGCTTAGAGTTATGTATTATAGTTGGCTTATGTGCTATATTTAGCAAACCATGTTTAAAATCAACTATGGGTTTATGTGGGCCCAACTATAAGGATGATGTTTCCTGAATATGTTCTCCTTTGTTTCTGTACACTACAGCCATCTCCATGTATTGATTTAACAGTGAAAAAAAATAATCACCTTCTCCCCTACTACCATAATTTATTATAAAATGGCTAAATATGTTAGATATTGTACATATACTTTTAAATCCTATCCATGGGTTCTCAACAATAAATACTTTGAGCTGCTGAAATGAGGGGGCCAGGGGAAAAATAATTTTCCACATCCATCATTTTGTGAGTAAGCTTATTCTTCACCCTATACCCTATACACATTAAAATAACAAGTTTTCCTTTCTCTGAAAAGCTTTCTATTTTATCATCCCCTTATTCCTGAGTACACTTACCTGTGGCTGGTGATGTTGCTGGAATAGCTGCCATGGCATCACCCTTCTTCGTTAAGGTGTTTTTGACTTCTGTAAAAACTTTTGAAGCTGTGGAAACCAAAAGAAAGAAAACCAAAAGATAATGCTGTTATCCAGGTAATGCTATGAACAGAAATTTATCAGTTGATCCTTTCTGCTGATCAGAGTGTGCAAGTGGATATTATGAATATCTTTCTTCTTCTTCTTCTTCTTCTTCTTCTTCTTCTTCTTCTTCTTCTTCTTCTTCTTCTTCTTCTTCTTCTTCTTCTTCTTCTTCTTCTTCCTCTTCTTCCTCTTCTTCCTCTCCCCCTCCCCCTCCCCCTCCCCTCCCCCTCCTCCTCCTCCTCCTCCTCTTCTATATAAATTACAGACTGGTAACTTTAGTAACCCTGCTTGCATTTTTAAACAAGCTTATTAAAAAGTACGGCCCATGGACTTTATTAGCTCCATGAGATCAACCCTACAGTTTTCTTGGCAACATTTTTCTTGCCAGTGCCTTCTTATGGTGGAGAGACGCTGCCTGTCTCAAAATCACCCAGCTGGTTTCCATGCCTAAGGCAGGACTAGAACTGTTAAGCAATAGCAGCTAAATTTCTAAACAGACTTAGTAAGGAGCACACCCCAAGGAGCTGACTACTCATTAAAATTTTAAGCGATTATTAGCAGTGCAGTTTTTTCTGTGACTTTGACAGGTCACAGACAAAAAGGGAGGAAAGAGAGTACTGGTTAAAAGCATACACCAGCACTTCTGAACAGGGACTATAAGCAAATAGTCTGTGAAGTTCTTTTAAAATTGGCAAGTTATCAGAGCAACCAGAAATAATCACGTCTCTGACTACTGCATCTTGCTCTGACTGAAGCTTTTAAGTTATTTTCAGAAGTAGTCTGGTGTGTAATACATTTAGAGCAAGGATAATAGAACAAAGAATCCAAGGGGCTGATTATCATAAGGAGTTAATAAAGAATGGAGGAAGAAGAATTTCTAAAACAGTGGTTCTCAACCTTTCTAATGCCGTGACCCCATAATACAGTTCCCCATGTTGTGGTGACCCCCAACCACTTATACATCACCAGGTGCCAGGGGCGTGGCCAAAGAAAAGAGGGAAAAATGGCGGACAGCCTTGTTTGGCGACCCCCGTGAAATGGTCATTCGACCCCAAATGGGGTCCCGACCCACAGGTTGAGAACCATTGTTCTAAAATGAAAATGAAAATCAAATATATCAACATGTATAAAAAAAATTAAAAAAAATCTGTGAGAAATGAGTGGTATAAAAAGAGATAAACATGGGATCAGAGGAGAGAACTGCACAGTAGAAAAATTTAAGACAGGGCAGTTCTGAGATAAGACCAGGAACACCACAGCAAGAAGTCATTAGTTTAGGTCAGTGTTTCTTAACCTTGACAATTTTAAGGCATGTGGACTTCAATTCCCAGAATTCCACAGCCAGCATTGCTGGCTGTGGAATTCTGGGAATTGAAGTCCACATGCCTTAAAATTGTCACGGTTGAGAAACACTGGTTTAGGTAAAGGCTAAAAGGTGAAAAGCTAAGAGAGGAAGATCAGGATAGATGGCAAAAAGCAGCTGACTCATAGAATGATAAGGATGACTACAAAATAAATAAATAAATAAATCCACCATCTGTTCCACGAATTCTGCAATAGGAGGAAACAAGTAGCAGATCTACAGTATGTCCAGACTTAACATTTGGAGTGGGTTACTGGGTTAGCTCAATATATATTCAACAGGGAAAAGGGAACTAACTACAAATGAGGATGCCATGCTTTCAAAGCTAACTGCTATTTTAGGTGCAGTAAAAAGGTAAAGGTGATGGGTTTCCCCTGCCACTCATGTCCAACTCTAGAGGGCAGCACTCATCTCTGTTTCTTAGCCAAGGGAGCCAGCATTGTCCGAAGATGCTTCCGTGGTCATGCGGCCAGCAGGACTATATGCCGAAAGCGCCCAGACCGCTGTTATCTTCTCATCAAAGTAATATCCATTTATCTACTGGCATTAGCATGCTTTCAAACTATCAAGAGCTGGAGCAAAAAAGGGAGCTCACTCTATCATGCGGTACTTGCTCTCAAACTACCAACCTTCTGGTTAATGTCTTAAAACCACTCGGCCGGTGGCCATATTTTCTCGGAAAAAATAAAGGACAAACCAGGAAAAAGGGTAATTGAATATTTATGGGGTGAGGTAACTTGAATTCTGGAGGTTTCTTTACCCCCTAAATAGAAGGGATCTAGGAGTATGTGGATTGACTATGTCTGAGTTCATCCCAGATATTTAACTAGGTTACATATTTAGCCCACTGTTTGAGCTCATGCCAAACCTATACAATAAACTTCATAGGCTGGATTGGCTTTACGTGTTAAGCCATACACATTTAGCCAGTTGTGCAAATGCAACCACTGCCCTAATTCACTGTGCTGTTTGAACCCAGCCTATAATAAATGATCCAGGGAGGGCAGAAGCATGTAAGACACTACCTAGCCTAGTCTCTAGGCCTCTGCAGCGCTGTTTTGGTTCAATGGTGGTCGGATCCAGTTTGGTGGCAAGTAAAGGCAGAGAAGAGCAACAGGGATAGGAGGAGGCCACACTTACCTCCTGGTTCTGTTTCCTCTTGTCCCCAATAACTCAGATCTGCAGAGGGACCCTGTCAGGCCCCATCAAGGGCCTAGACTAGCCGTACAAATGCACACAGAAGCCACACCTTCTGGTCTGGGCCTAGGAGAGAGGAGGGCAGGAAGTTAGGAACAGAAGGACTGGAAAAATTGAGCATCAGACTGCTGCTGTAAAGCCATAGGAAACACCTTGTGCTTGGTGTGTCATGAGACTAACAAGACCACAAGACTTCACTGAAAGTACCCATCTCATAATCCATCACAGGAAAGCTTGAAAGGGGAACTAGTTTGAAACAGCACCCTTTCGAAAGAAATTGTATGCAAAATGGAACCTGGAATGGCAAGATTAGCTACCCTCCATTAATCATTTCTCCATATTAATTATTATTTCCAATTTCAAATGTTCGAAAGGTATTCCCAAATCTGAGTCTTAAAACTCACCACTTTTTAAAAATGATATATTAGAGAGGATGAATGTGTCCACATGGGTCATGCTCCTTTCCTTTGGACATTTTATTCAGCGCCAATAATCACAATGAAGCCAGAGTAGTTTGTGATGCGTCTACTTCATAGTCATTTTGGCATGGAAGACCATTTTTATTTTCTGAGATATTTTAAATACAGTTTAAACGATACTATGCTGTAAAAAATAAATAGTTGTATGCCTTTTAATACTTTATTTAAGTATTACTTAATGTAATTACTTAAAATGTTTCATTTTGTTTTACATTTTAGTTGTTTGGTTCATTTTATGAAACACCATGAGAATACGATCAAGGGATGATTTAAATATACTAGTATAGTAAAAAATGAATACAACATCCACAAAGCTACCGTGTTTGTGGAAGTGATGAGAAGGTTCAAAAACATATGTGAAGACTTTCTAAGAGACAAAGTTGTATCTATAAACTGTAAGTTTAATTATGCCAGTTTAATTATGCCATTACTGATTGTAGCTGAAGAAAGCCAGCAATGATCTTTTTATCTTCATGAAAAAGGCAGCCACTGGTTCTGTGGGTTGGATCAGTATTTAGTGCTGTTCCCTTGTTTGCTATTAACACCACTCCTCCCTTTACTCTCCAGATTGGTAAGATTTGTTATCCCTTTTTATCTAGAGGATGACATGGACATTCTTCATCACCTCTGAGATCATGCAGCCCCTGTTGTCTTATAAAGTGAATGACATAGAGAGGGTGGACATGAAACCTTGAGAAATAAAAAATGCATTAAAGTCCAGTGAACGATGAAATCTAGAAGAATCTTAAAATGGAATGAAGGATTAAGTATCAATAAGATAAAACAAAAGCAAAGTGAGCTGTAATATTTTACAAGTTACTGTAAGGCATATAATCAAGTTATCAAGAGAACATTTATTCTTAGGTACAGAAATCACATTCACAGGGAAAATGCCCTTCCCAATTTTAGAACTCATGCCATCCATCATTTCACCCTCACATTATGATCGCAAAATAATGACCAATCCCAAATTTTGAGCGCAAGCATCTTTTGGGATTTTTTAACTTCTGAAAATGCAACAACGATGAATGAAAGGAAATGATCTGCTCTTGGATTGACAGCTGGTGCCATCGTGGTATCTGAATTTACCAGTGTATATTATGGTCATTTCATCTTCAGGCCCTTCTTTCCAAAATCAGGACATTACTAGTTGCTTTTTACATGCAAGATTGTCATCTCTGAGCCATCTTTAAGTTATACTATCGCGAATACAACCCCCCCCCCCTTCACCTACTAAGAAATTACACTCTGGTCTGAGAAAAACTGCAGTGCAAATTTAAACTACTTATTCATTTTTGCTTATATATTAATTTCCTTTTATTCTTATCCTAATATTTGACCTAAAGTGATGCCCTTAGTATTTCTCAAAACAATTCTCATTGGTGTAGTTTTAAGCTGTAGAATCATGCAGCTGGACAGCGTGCAATTATATAACAATATGCTTTGAAAAGCAGACTAACAGGCAGTTATTACTAAATAGAGTGCTGGATGAGTTATTGGGTAATGCCAAAAAATGGATATTGAAAAAAAGAACAAAATGCAAAATGTAAATGTGTGGGGATGGTGAAAGTAGCGGTGGTTTTAGGAACAGAAAAATATGAAAGGGCAGAATGAATGGTTATTGTAAGTAGATATTGTTATATTTCTTGTAATTTTTGACATACTATTTCTTTCTTCTTTTCTGCATAATCCTGCTTACCCCAACAAGTAATTACATGATGGGTATGTATATTTATATGCAGTTAATTTGGATATATACCTTGGGAAATAAATGTGTTCTCTGTGTGGCATTAAGCCACTCCTAAGTAGAGTTGCACATCTTTTGAGGAATTAGAGATACTATTGTACAATCCTATTGGATTTCAGACTGTCTGGTAAAAATAGATCACATATTTTATCAATGAAGAACAATATGCCAGCTGCCATTCTCTTTGGGCTGCAGGATTACAGGCATCTGGAGTAGCTCTGCTACTCAAAGGTTGATGCTACCACTGTTCTGTATTAAGAACAAAAACACGGAAGACAAATTATGTTTGGAAACACTCACCCTCCCACCCTGGCTATCCTTCTTTGTGATAGAGATTGTAAAATTATAGTTTAATCTAACAGCAGAACAATCTACCACTCCCAGAGCTAGGAGACGTTCTGCTACTCAAGACTAGATGAGACTGTACTCCCTATAAATGTTGCCACTCCTACCATTATCCCCTCCTGTAAAGCTTCTGGACCACTCACCTTTTGGATATCATTCTTGGGATGTCCTGCATAGGTAATTGGTAACAAAACAAGAGAGAGAAATTTTGGTATAATGGTTAATGCACCAGGTTGGAAACCAGGACCGGCATCAGAAATTTCCTTCCCCAGACACCAAAAAAAGCTCGATTTTTAAAAACTAGAAAAAGCACCACTTTTAAGCATGAAATTTAACCCCAAATCTCACTCTGGTGTCTGTTTTTGCATTTGGGTCAAACAAAAAATTCGCCTTCCAGAGCACAGAAGTCTCTGCATCAGAAATTTCCTTCCCCAGACACCAAAAAAGCTCGATTTTTAAAAACTAGAAAAAGCACCATTTTTAAGCATGAAATTTAACCCCGATTCTCACTCTGGCGTCCGTTTTTGCATTTGGGTCAAAAAAAAATTCGCCTCCCAGATTACAGAAATCTCTGACCGCAGTATCAGAAATTTCCATCCCCAGACACCAAAAAAGCTCAATTTTTAAAAATTAGAAGAAGCACCATTTTTAAGCATGAAATTTAATCCCGAATCTCACTCTGGTGTCCGTTTTTGGATTTGGGTAAAAAAAAAAATTCAACTCCTGGATCACAGAAATTTCTGACCGCAGCATCAGAAATTTCCTTCCTCAGACACCAAAAAAAGCTCAATTTTTTAAAATTAGAAGAAGCACCATTTTTAAGCATGAAATTTAACCCCAAATCTCACTCTGGTGTCCGTTTTTGCATTTGGGTCAAAAAAAATTTCGCCTCCCAGAGCACAAAAATCCCTGACCACAGCATCATCAATTTCCTTCCTCAGACACCAAAAAAAGCTCAATTTTTAAAAATTAGAAGAACCATTTTTAAGCATGAAATTTAACCCCGAATATCACTCTGGCGTCTGTTTTTGCATTTGGATCAAAGAAAAATTTCACCTCCCGGACCACAGAAATCCCCTCCCCAGACACCAAAAAAAGTTTGATTTTTAAAAACTAGAAAAAGCACCATTTTTAAGCATGAAATTTAACCCCGAATCTCACTCTCACGTCGGTTTTTGCATTTGGGTCAAAAAAAATATTTCGCCTCCTGGATCACAGAAATTTCTCACCACGGCATCAGAAATTTCCTTCCTCAGACACCAAAAAAAGCTCGATTTTTAAAAACTAGAAAAAGCACCATTTTTAAGCATGAAATTTAACCCCGAATCTCACTCTGGTGTCAGTGTTCGGATTTGGGTCAAAAAAAAAATTCGCCTCCTGGATCACAGAAATTTCTCACCATGGCATCAGAAATTTCCTTCCTCAGACACGAAAAAAAGCTCAATTTTTTAAAATTAGAAGAAGCACCATTTTTAAGCATGAAATTTAACCCGGAATCTCACTCTGTTGTCCGTTTTTGGATTTGGGTCAAAAAAAATTTTGCCTCCTGGATCATAGAAATCTCTGACCACGGCATCAGAAATTTCCTTCCCCAGACACCAGAAAAAGCTCGGTTTTTAAAAACTAGAAAAAGCACCATTTTTAAGCATGAAATTTAACCCTGAATCTCACTCTCATGTCGGTTTTTGCATTTGGGTCAAAAAAAAATTTCACCTCCTGGAGCACAGAGATCACTGACCACAGATTCATAAATTTCCTTCCCCAGATACCGAAAAAAGCTGAATTTTTAAAAATTAGAAAAAGCACCATTTTTAAGCATTAAATTTAACCCCGAATCTCATTCTGGCGTCCATTTTTGCATTTGGGTCAAAAAAAATTTCGCCTCTCGGAGCACAAAAATCCCTGACCACAGCATCATCAATTTCCTTCCCCAGACACCAAAAAAAGCTCAATTTTTAAAAACTAGAAAAAGCACCATTTTTTTATTGTACAAAAATTACAAAATATATCCCAAACCAACCCACCCTCCCCCCTCCCCCACTTCCCAGAGCTGAATACAGGGTAACAAATATAATAATCATAATCTAACTCAGTGGTTCTCAACCTTTCTAATGCCGTGACCCCATAATACAGTTCCCCATGTTGTGGTGACCCCCAAGTGGGTGTGGCCACCAGTAAGAGGGAATAGGACAGCTAGGGAAAAGGGAAAAAATGGCGGACAGCATGGTTTGGCGACCCCTGTGAAATGGTCGTTCGACCCCAAATGGGGTCCTGACCCACAGGTTGAGAACCACTGATCTAACTAATATTAACCAACTATGTAGATTAACAAGTATAATGCACTTTAACTCTCTTTTAACACAGAATAAACAATTTGGAAATAAACTTTATCATATAATCAAATTAAAATCCCAATTTATAAACAATACAATATAATAAAAATTCCACTGCACCAAACTATTAATAATAATAACAATAATAATATTCAATAATTT